GGTACAAAGAAAGGAGGCAAAAGCCTAATAGAAGCTTTTGCTTTTGATTGAATATTAGTTGACAAGCACCATAACCCAACTTAACTCTTCACAACAAGCAAAACATAACATTGTTACTTAAAACCTTCAAAATAACATTGTTACTTAAAACCTTCAAAATTGTAAATCTTTTATATGTCTAAACTAAGTGAAGCCTAATAGCATCACTCATAATACACTAGCTCCATTAACAACACTCGAAACTGACTCTAAACTCTTGGCCAATTCAGCTGCCGCCCCAATATAAGAATGGGGTGTCAAATCCAAAAGTCTTCTCTTTGCATGAGTTGGGATATCTAGGCCTTCAATGAATTCTCTAATGCTTTCTCTAGTCACTTCTTGCCCTCTCGTTAGCTCCTTAAGTTTCTCATATGGCTCCGGTACACCATATCTTCGCATTACCTTAAAGAAAGAATGAAAAACAAGTAAATATTCGGTAAAAGTAAAACTTATTACAACGCAAACTAATATTGAAAGGGGTGAATGGCTAAAGGAGGTTTTATTATGACACAACAGTTCACAGAGCAAAATTTATGATCCATTTTAAAATCACCAGAAAAGTTCAAATGTAATGAGAGAATATGAAAAGCAAATATGACATGTTTTACCAGTTACATACCGTTTGTATAGGCTCAGCAAGAACCTCCCAGGACTTGTTCAAGTCTTCAGCCAAAGAAACTTCATTGACCTAAAACGCACAAGAGAAAAAGAATGAATATCAACAGATGAAAGCTAGATGCCACAATATCACTAAAAAAAAGTGTGCAACCAAGGAAACTCCACTTTTTTAATGAAAATGTGAATTTTAATAACATTAAATGACTGATCCAAGTATTTATTCTTTACCTGTAGCTTAGAAATTCCCTTTATTGTGGCTTTATAAGCAAGAAGAGAGTGCCCCAGTCCAACACCCATGTTTCTCAGAACAGTTGAATCAGTCAAATCTCTCTGCACAGAGAGAGAGAGAGAGAGGAAGAAAAAATAAATGATTATAAATATTAAAAACTCATTTGAACAAGAATGGTATGGGAGGGGACTATAATTATCCCTTACTACCTTATCAAGTTTATACCTGCCAGCGGGAAATAGGCAACTTAAAGCTTAAGTGCGATAAGGCTGCATTTGCAACTCCACAATTTCCTTCACTGTTTTCAAAGTCGATTGGATTTACTTTGTGGGGCATTGTTGAGGACCCAATCTCACCGGCCTTAGTAATCTGCTTATATTTGAGAATGCATCAGGATCACTTCCAATAGTAGGAGCATAACAACTAGAGCAATGAATGATATATTGTTCTTTCCTAACCTGCTTAAAGTGACCCAAGGAAATGTAACCCCAAATGTCTCTGTCAAAATTAATTAAAATATTGTTGAACAGGCTGATAGAGTTGAAAATTCGGGCCATGTAGTCATGAGATTCAATCTGGTATTTCAAGACAAGTTAGTTAAAAAGAAATTAGTTCAAAATTGAACAGGTATTCTATTTTCCAGAATGAAATATAAATGCCAACGCATCATTAGTTCTTAGAAATGTTTATTTTTCACTGGCACACACCTGAGTAATAAAAGGATTAAAACTTATTCCAAGAGATGTGACAAACTCTTCTGCAACTTGAGGCCAACTAACATCAGGATATGCAACCATGTGAGCATTGTAATTTCCAACAGCTCCAGCAAACTTTCCCAAAATTGCGATACGGGATAATTCTTTCCGTTCTTCACTTAGCCTATGTACAAATATTGCCATTTCCTTCCCCAACGTTGTTGGTGATGCCGGCTAACCAAAAGAAAAAAAAAAAAAAATCAAACAAAAAGATAAAAGAAAGAAAGAAAAGGCAAAAAGCATGAGAGGATTAAATTAAACATTCAGTTCTCACTGATAACTCCACAATAAAACAACTATCAAATAGGGTATTCTTCACAACGATCTTGAGATTAAAGGCATGGTGGGATGACAGAACGTTAACTAGGTTAATACCATTGCCGTGAAACTTCATCTTCTCATGTCCAAATTACATAATATATCACGAAACCACACCACATACAAAATATAATGAGCTGAGATAACTGAGAGAATTTTTTACAGCCTGTAGGAGGAAGAGTCTGCAATACAAAATATATTTAATCTTTTTACACCCAAAGCTATTTACCTGTCCATGAGTTCGAGAGAGCATAGGAATGGAAGCATTGACAGTGGCTAAGTTACATATTGCAGAGATCAATTTGTCCATTTCTGGTAGTATCACTTTGTTAAGAGCTTCTTTCAGCATCAATGCATGAGCTAGATTATTAATATCCTCAGATGTGCATGCAAAATGGAAGAACTCGAGCACCTACATTGAAACGGTTATTAGATGGCACATGAAAGAATCCGGTTAGTGATTAATAAAGTGACTAAAAGAGGTGAATAAAAATACCTTATAGAAAGATAATCAAGAATTTTAAGAAATATAAATTAAGAATCATGCTATATTCAGGATACATTTTCTTGTAGGTACAAATCAGGACAAGAACTAACAATATATATGTACCTTAGATAACTCTGGATGCGACTGACATCTCTGTTTTAGGAAGTATTCAACAGCCTTCACGTCATGGTTAGTCACTTTTTCAATTTCCTTCACTTCCAAGGCATCATTCAGGTTAAATGAATCAATTATTTTTTGAAGATAAGACTTGGCATCTCCAGAGAAGCTCGGGACCTCAGGGACTTCGGACATTTGAGACATCTTCAACAACCACCTAATCTGATAAAAAGAGATGTGAAAGGTGTAAGCACTTTAATGGGGATTGAAGTTTTAAAAGTAATCTAAAGCTAGTAGATTAGATTATATACATGACCCAAAGAGGACTATGCTATAGCTAAACGTTAAACACACTGTATAGTTACAAAACTAAAATAGTATTAAAAAGGTAAATTGGGTTATGATCATACTAGTTTAAAGGTAAACTGGATTAAATACTAGTTTAATTTTTTCGCCCATGCCCCATCTTCTGATTTAAGACACACAGTGGCAGTAATAATAAATAATAATAACCAATCAAAATCAAGACGATCATGATTCAGCTGTTACTATTCATCCCCTCGGACAGGTCTCATTTGTCACATCTCCTAATGAGAACCCCAGACTCACAATCACATCCAATTATATATCATATACAATCTCCCTTCATTTCAATCTATTGAAACTTGGTATTATAGCTCATAGGAACAGGATGAAAATACATTACCTAAACCTACAAACAACATAAACAAGTTTGAATTACCTCAACCAGCACTCTGTATTTAATAAGGCCAAATTCACTAAGAAAAGGTGACAAGTCCTTGACTTTATCCCAATAACGGCCATCCAATGGGCACAATAACTGCACACCTAGCCGCTCAATGTCCAATGAAGAATCAGCTGCAGCCATCATTTTTACCTGTGAATGAGATTCAACTATAATCAAGTTACACATAAACTCCTATAGGGTCTAAAAGGGGCATCAATGTTATAATCTCACTTAATACATGAAAAAGACACAAAATGATATCACGACAGATCCAATCATTTCATAACGAGAAGACATGTGGAGACATCAGTGAGCCTTGTGTTCCATGAAAATATCTTAGTACTTGAAAAGACAGTAATATATAATCAAGATCGATAATGTATACAAAACATGTTCTCTAATTTGAAATGCCCTAAATACTATACCACAAGTATGCATCACCATTCATGCACAGTGTTCTCACAAGCACATCTATGTCTTAAAAGCTCTATAAGCAACATCTAACTGAGGTAGTAATCATTTGTGCATATTGATTGTCCAAACATCAACAAAGTCTATTATCCATCTCTAAGGATGGCTGTGAACAGTATAGTTCTTGTGCGTCTCTATTTCATCAAATACCATAAATTTGACCGACATTGAGGAATAGGAATAGTTCCACACTTCAGCTTGAATTCAACTACAATTTTATCCTTTATATACTCTCTTTTCACTCCAAAACAAAATCCACCGCAAGGCAATTGTTCAAACATTATGCTTAAACTCACGAGAAACGATCAGCACCCAGGAACTGTTTGATCACTTAACCAAGTGAATTACCAAAGCACAAATTTCAAATGATAAATCTTACCTTTGGCGCGAATTTCGGGTTGATGTCCTTGGTAGATACTCTCCAGAAGGAGCTCCCAGGAGCACGAACGGATACGCATGAGGAAGCACGGCTACTGCAATAACCAGGCGAATTTGCGTGGTTAATGGGAGAAATACATAGCGCCGAGTTTTTTATGTACGCACCTACTCTCAGCTCCATCGTTTCGGGTGGGAGATGGCGGCGCGTGACGCTATTGGAGTGATAACCAGCTGAAACTGCGAGGAAAGATTGGGGCAAAGTGGCAAAGTGCAAACTTCTGTAATATTGTGTGAAATTCCCATATGTTTTAAAAATTGCATCACTGTCCTTTCGTAATAAGTTCAGCTAGGCTGGCATTTTTTATTTTTTTATTTTTCTTTTTCCGAAAAACCAACTGAATCGAATCGAACCAACACAGAGAAAAACAAACCGAATAAAAAAAATCAGTTACTGAATCAAAAATTATAATTTCGGTATTGAATTTTCTATAATTTCGGTATTGGATTTTTTAATTTATGGTTTTTGCATTTTAGGCGCAACTAAGTTCAACCCAATTATTGGAACTTATATCTTGATAAAATTGTGCCTTTTATCTACCTATTATTATTTTTTATTTTTATACAAGACAGTTTGTTTATTTATTTGATGTATTCGACTTTTTAGTTTTCATACATTCTCTTTAATAGTTATACGTGGAATATGAATAGACGTTTCATATCGGTTATCGAGGCAATCTTTATTCAAATTTTATTGACATATTTTTGTATAAAAAATCGTGTTATTTTGTTCTTCTCTCTCTTTCAGATTTTTCATCAGTCTCGTTCTTGGCATAATATGTGAAACGTGGGTATTTAACGTAGAGTGTGTTAAACTGTGTTAGGACACAGAATTATCATAAGTTTTCAAAATTGTGTTGTAACACCAGAATAAGTATAATTACGGAAGCACAAACAAGAGATACAAACTCTTCGGGTATTACCCTCAGAGATTTTTGTTAATAGATCGATTGTGCACACTTGTATAGTTTGAACTTATGCAACTAGAACTCCCTTCTAGTTTCGCGAACACTATACTCGATCCTACCGACTAGTTCTCTTACCACAATCCCTCGAGCAACCCAACACTTAATCCCTAAGTACTATAACAAAGTATTTGAATGAAAATTATGAAAATTCAAAGGAAACAAACTCAGTTATCGATGGCGTAAGAACACCAAAAAACTGAATATAAAAAAAAAATCTAAGAACAAAAATTCTTGAACTCTTAATTAAATGCTTGAATGATATTCGAATAATAGATCTCTCAGCAGCCTTCAATTGATCTTCAAGATGGGTATAAGTAGCTTCTCCAATTAGCTACTCATCTTCCTTCAAGAATGATTTCTTTCCAAACATCTATATATATTAAAGTGAAGCACTTAAAAATTCCCTCCAAAACTTTATTAATTACTAAAAATAAATTTTACCAACTTCTATGCAAAATTTTCATAAAAAACTACATTTACTATATTGAAATAAATTTTTATCAATTTCTATGCATGATTTATCAATAAAAAATATTTGTTACATATGATTAACTAATTTATATTCATAATTGTATTGGAATTTGCACTCCAATTTCTCTTGGCTAAATAAATGTTTCAACTACTTATATGACCATGAAATAAATTTTGTTAATTTCTATATATTATTTACCATTCAAACAATATCATAATTATTTGTTACAAATAAATACTTATTTTAGTCATAATCAATTATTGTACAAATTTCCGTTAAATATTTTTATGCTTTGTGAGTGACATAATTATTTGTTACAAATAATATTTAATACTATACATAATTATTTATTATGAATTTTCATTTCAATATCCCACTTATTATTTGTCTCTCTTCCCATTTGTGAGCATGAGTTCCTTTTCTTATATATTATATTTTTTCCTTAAAAATAAATTATCAATCTCATTTAATTAATCATTAAAATAATTTTTAAAGTAAATTTTTATTTAAAATCATTTATTTTTTTATACATATTTATTTATTTTTGAATATCAAACACAATATTAATATTTTCGGTTATATTCGAAATATTTCAAGGTAAAATAGAAAAAATCATAATTAATACAATATCTGCATGTAATATAATAAATAAATATTTTTATAGTTTTTAATTTGGTATCTATATTGCATATATATAGATAAACTTTTATATTCGATATGTCAATTTAAAATTCTATGTCGTTTATTTTAACATACACATGTTCAATGTTTACATATAAATATCTAATAATAGCACCATGTCACGTTTGACACATATACTCTAATATGATGAAATTTTTGTACACATTAATAAAATATGTAATCATCTCTTATTAATCTAATATTTTATTATTTTAACCTCTATGTAATTTTAGGAAATTACAAGTAACCATTAAACTATTTGTATAGAGTACCTCATTCCTAAACAATATCTTCTAATTTAAATTGTAAAAAGTCTAATTATTCACAAACTCTTATGTGAGTTGAAGTAAGGTTTAGTCAAGTCAACGTATCATTCTTTTTTAACAAAAATGTAAACTTAGACTTCTAAATTTCATACTTTTGTTTATTTTATTTTATAATATATTTTTTAAAATACCAAATGCAATACAAATAGAGAGAGGTAAAAAATAATGAAGTTATATTTATCATAAATAATACAATTTATTCAACTAAAAAATGTATATTTTTTTGGATATCATCTATAGTTTTTGGGTATGACCCTTCATATCCATATAAAGTAGATCTCGAAAATGTTGAATATACTTTATTTGGGTAAAAGAAACTTCAAGAACTATATGGATTGAAGTTTTTTTACTAAAACCATGAATATGAAAACAAGGAAAACAAAAGAGAAGAAAAATAAGACATATTAAAATTCAAAAATGTCATGAAATTGACTGTATTTTATAGATAAACAATAGACCAATATTTCAGAACTGATATTGTAAAAAGAAAACAAAATCCACAAATGATAGTGTACAAAAAAAGAGATATGACATCATTTCAAAGAGACAACTCATGGATTTGATTGTGAAGGCTGAAAAGAAAAATGCATATATATCGTTCATTTCTTCAACGAATTTTCAACTACATATTAGATCGTTTCATGTTATTTTTGGTATTTTATTATTTTTAGTTGGTATAATTTGTTTTATCTATGAAAATATTGAAGAGTCCACTTAAACACATGCGCTCATAAAATTTTCGCCATCATATTTATTTTATTGGTCCAAAAGTATACAACTATAATTTCTGAGGCATAACAAGTTAATTTCATTGTTAATGTGTTATTTGTATATCGTATATTGTTTTCTTAAGAATGACGATAATGTATAATCTTTATCGAAACATTGCGACATATAAAGTCCTACAACTTACTACGAATGCAAAAATTTTTTCTTCATCATATATCGCAATTGTCATTTTTACTTTTTAGTTTTGGACGTATATATTATTATTATTATTAAATGTTTAATTATTGATATTTGAAAATAATTTTGTATTTCTAAATAATAAGTTAATTACAATTATCTTATATTTCATGAAAAATAAGTTTTAGCTATTGATCTAACATTGACGGTGATCATCTTGATTATTTTCTTAATATAATATTATGAAAATAAAAATTACACTTTAAAGTATATAATAAAAAATAATTCAATATGTATAAACATAAATTTTTTTTGTACAATGAGGTGAACATTTATTTTCATAGTTTGTGTACAACATAAAAATAATTGATTAGTACCGACATAAATTTGTATTTTGTACAATGAGGTGAACATTTATTTTCATAGTTTGTATACAACATAAATGTAATTGATTTAGTGTTCTAACATAGCATCTAATTTAGTTTCATTTATGGGTAAGCAATATAAGAATATTGTGATATGAAAAAAATTAGAAAATGATAACATAAAGAAAGTGATAATGTAGTTTTGACTATGATCCTATTGATTGAATATTTTGATCCAATAATTATTTGTTTTAATTATTTTATTTGAGCTTAAATTTGAGGTTTATGTAAAAGTTGGTGATTGACCTCCCTTATTTTTTTACTAAATACACAATTATGCTGTTTATAAATAAAAATAACATAATGTGTCAGTTACCGTTTAATTTTTCTTAATAAAAGCATATTATTGCAACTGAATGTTGTAGTAAATAAAGTTAAATAGAACTTATTATAATGCATTAATTACTTTTTCCTTATCATCTATCACAATGTTAATTTCACAAGAATGTTTTTTTTTAATATTATATAACATAATTTAAATGTCTTTTTCTTATTACTTTACAAAAATTTTGTCAATGTGCATTTCTAAAAATTACATTGAATTGTAATTCCCATTGATTTGTGCAATTATTCGGTCTATCTATAACTTTACGAAAAATGATCAATCTTCCACGTCATTCTCTAATCACCATCGCACTTATTTTGCAAAAAATTGAAATGTTGATATTTATTTTATTAATAAAAAGGTGAAAAATATGTGGACCTAATTTAAATTTAAATACATGCGTATAGAAGTCATTTTTATTTTTTTCTTAAGTATCTAATTTATATTTATAAATTTTAATTTACTCATCTTCGTACATGTTAACTTTAATTATTAATATATTACTTTCTTTGTAGAATAGTAACTATGACTTTATTTTTTTGTACCTATAGAATTATGTTATCACGTAGAGATTTTTATGAAAAATTATGAAGGAATGTCATTAATGTGACAAATAATTTTTTTCATAGTATATCACATTTTTTTTAAGCTTATGAATTTAATATTCAAAATTTTAAGAAAAAAAATATATTGTATTTTTTAGTTACAACAATTATACGTTGTTATTGTTTCTATAGTCATGAATCCATGTTGTCTATTTTTATTACAGTAGGTGATAATGACCACAACTCATCTACTATTAATACTATATTAATGTTATATTTGTGGAAGTATATTTACTGGATTAGTAAAAAATTTAGTCTACGTTATATCAATAGATATTTTTTAAAATATTTTTCTATTAAATTATCATTCATTCACATCATTTTTAATATTAAGCCGCGCAACGCGCGGGTAACGTACTAGTAATGGTTTAAACATGGCAAATGAATATTGTCTCCTCTCTTTTCTATTTCCTTACCTCCATGCATGCGGATCTCTATTGTCATGCACATGTCCAAGTACCTACAAGATACAACCAAATATAAGAGCACACAATCTCTTTCAATTTTCATATTATATATATATATAGGGACT